TTTAGGGTCGTAGGGTCTTGGAGTTTAGGGTTTTGGGTATTGGGATTTTAGGGTTTTAGGGGTTTAGGGTTTTAGGGTCTTAGGGTTAGAGTTGAGGGTTTACGGTTGAAGGGTTAGGGTTTACGGTTTCGGTTTCGGGTTCAGTTTGGCCGTCTTCATAAGTAGATGTAGGATTTTTGGAATCATATAGGGGCCAGAGTAGCTAGTAACGGTATCCCAGGGTTCAACACCTGAACAGTGAGTTATCGTGCGATATGCGCCGAACCCCTCCATTGTATCTGCATTTTGCCGAACACATGTTCACAACAAGAGTGCCGTCTGAGATATCCACCGCCTCCTCGTACAACTAAACCTTGCACGTTGAACAAACCCGCCTCCAATCCCTATGCACAGTCCAGAAACCAGTTGCAGAGTTGTGATTCCTTCACGGTCTCCTAAATTGAGGGTTTATTGGTGTTAATATGCGGGCCCGAATCATTGGAATAGGCTCCTGTCGTAGGCTTGGGGATTGATAGAAGGTTCGAGGACGCTTCGAGCTTTATCAGGCCTTCAGGGTGTGTGGGTTTGAGGCTTTGGGTTTAGGGTTTAGGGTTTCGATTTGGGTTGTTGATGTTAAGTCAGGCCAGTCACCAGTCGCATGGGGTTGAGGGCAGCAACAAGCAACCTGCCCCGGAGATTTCGCAGCGATGTAGCAGACGCTGCAGAAGATTTGCCCAGACTCCCCACTTGTCCAGCCCTACGTCCAAACCCGTTCGATATCCACAGGCCTTCACTACTTTGACTGGGTTCTCGTTAAGGGATTTATCTTGTTAAGGGATTTCGTTTCAGTTACGAATTATGAAGAAACCATGTTATGTACTATAAATTCCTAGTATGGCCCAAATTATGGTATCTTAAATAATCTCCCTCAACAAGAACCCAGTTGAGTGAAACCCTGATCCCAGGTCTTATTAGGGAGACCCCTTCAAAGGGACCCTTCTTGCACCCCCTTCTGGCTCTCTTAAAAGGGACCTCATGGAGACGGTCTTTTTCCCCGAGGGTCCCCCTAACCTCCCTAAACCCTAAACCTTAAACCCTAAACCCTAAACCCTAAACCCTAAACCCTAAACCCTAAACCCTAACCCTAAACCCTACACCCTAAACCCTGAACCCAAATCCTAACTCCCACCTGAACAACCCCCCCCAACCTAACACCCCGCAGGCCCAGGCCCGGAATATCCCACTTTCCTTAAGGACGAAAAGAGCCCTGAAAGGGTTTAGGGTTCATATACCATATAGGGATGCATAGTATAAGGGTATAGGGCCCCTACTTTTAAGGTTCTTTTCGTCCTTAAGGTTCCTAATCCTTGAGCCTTCTCCGCCCTCGCCCTCCAAAAGGTCTCTTTAGGGTCTATGGGGCTTCGGGTTGGGGTTTTGCTCTCAGGGTTTAGGTTTAGGGTTTGGGCGGTTTAGGGCTTAGGGCCTAGGGTCTCTTCTGCAATCAAAGCTTTGGTGCTGAGGTTTTGGGCTTTGCATTCGGCATGTACTGTAGCAGAGGGCTAATGCATCTAATGCATTTAGGGTTAAGAGTTAAGGGTTAATCAGGATCTTCTCAAAACCCTAAACCCTAAACCCTAAACCCTAAACCCTACATCTCTCAAAACGTGTCTTCAGTGAATCGTCGCCAAGATCTCGAGAGCCGTAGACCTGAGCCTCAAAGCCTCGCGTAAGTTTGTCAATCAATCGCGCACCTTAGGGTTTAGAGTTGGGGATTTAGGGTTTAGGGCTTAAGGACTAGCAATAGTACTCAACAGTCACAGCAATCATGGTAATGGTAATAGTACTATAGTAATATAGGCACAGTAGTGGTCATCGTAATCTTCCCACCTTGGTTCCTTGACTTGCCTCAGGCACGCCCATGTCTGCGGGGGTTCCAGCAGCGCTCATGTCAGGATGCACGGATTTGAAAGGGCTTCGAAGCTGGCTTTGGATTGGAAGATCGCAGGGGTTTGGGCAGGGCTTGGGTTTCTGGTTCAGAGCAGTCATAAGGAGTCGCACCATCAGTAGCTGTCCTTTCACGAGCTCCTATAGGGAATAAGGCCATCGACCCAGAATACCGTGAAATAGACCTGCGTAAGACCTTCTGCAGCCGAGTCTTTCGTTGATACCTTAGCACCCCGCTTCCTCTCTCTGTATCAAGTATCGCTCTCTTGCTCTCCTTTCTTTCTCTTTCTCTCTCTCTCTCTCTGACTCGCTCGCTCTCTCCCCATCCGTATCTCTTGTCCTCTTGACTCGGCTGTCATGCCAATGCATAGGTGGAGATTTCATGACTGCTGCGCGTTTGTTGCCTCGCACTGCAGCGGATCTTGCCGAATCACACGCATTGATGGCATGGTTGGTCTACTCTCCCGTGAGCATGTTTGCTTGACATGCTTGAGTCGGGCATACGGCATCATAGCAGTTACAGCCCTACCCACAGGGAGCTGCGGCACCTTTTGCAGTCCCTACACACCGCTGGCCGGGTGTGAGGGCCGGTCGCCACATCATCGCCCGCCTGACGGCAGGGCGGGCTTCGGCCCACCCATCCCCCCCCCCTTGGGGCCAACGTGTCCAGGTGCCGGGCACATGACAGCAGGACGATGGGCTAATGTGCCTGCTGGGGGAAGGCGTGGTAGGCCCAGACCGATGCAGGGGAGGCCTTGGCAAAGTCTGCATGCATCGAATTTGTGGGCCGAGAGGGATTGAGGGTTTGGTGTTTGCGGTTGCTCTCCGCCAAAATTTTCCTGGCTCCCGCCTACTCTCCCTCTTTCTCTCCCTTCTCTCGCCGTCTTCCTGCCCATCCGCTTTTGCTCACTTCATCTCTCACTACAGCTGCCTGTCTCTCTCTTCCTTTCCCTGTCGCTGTCGCTCTCTCTCGCCCTCTCTTGTTCTTGTTGTTGTTGTTGTTGTTGTTGTTGTGGTTGTTGTTTGTTGTTTGTTGTTTGTTGTTTGTTGTTTGTTGTTTGTTGTTTGTTGTTCGTTGTTTGTTGTTTGTTGTTTGTTGGTTGTTGGTTGTTGTTTGNNGTCGTTGTCGTTGTCGTTGTTGTTGGTGTTGTTGTTGTTGTTGTTGTTGTAGTTGTTGTGGTTGTGGTTGTGGTTGTTGGCTGTTGGTTGTTGGTTGTTGTTTGGTGTTTGTTGTTTGTTGTATGTTGTTTGTTGTTTGTTGTTTGTTGTTTGTTGTTTGTTGTTGTTGTTGTTGCTGCTGTTGTCGTGGTTGTTGTAGTTGTAGGGGCCATGTGTAGTTCAAGCAACCCTACCAGGAGCAATAGCAGAAGCAGCAGTCAGAGACCTCATGGCCGTGGAAATAGGTAAATTCCTGGTACGTCCATCCCTTCCCTTTCTTCTCGCTTTGCTGCTGAGCTACTTGGAGGATCATGGGACTTAGTAAGTAAGGTTTATAACCCTACTTACTAAGTCCCATGATCCTTTAAGTACTTCCGAGGTGAAGCTGGTAAAGGCCGTGAAGGCCAGGATTCAGGGATCAGGTGCAGCAGACCGGGACGATGGGCTGGAAGCTTGCACAAGATAAATAAACAAATCGATAGATAAAGCAGTATACCTATATATATATATGCATATAATGATATATATATATATATACACACACTATCAAATGTAATGCCATGAACTTGTAGTGACCCCAGTCACTGGGCCACCTGGTTCGTGATTTCAGATCTCGTGCACTCGTGCTGAGGGAGTTCCCGTTCAAGTCGAAGTGCTATTTGCTGCTTGTCCGGTTTATGAACCTGGCCTAGACGGGCGCAGCTTCAAGTTCTGTACTGCCATGCCCATCAAGCTCATTTACTGGTTTCAGGCGCTTCGGCGGCTTCGGACAATGTCGCTCGGATTGACATTGGGCGGTGATGGTGATGCTGATGACATCGATGAAGAGGCGGTCCTGATGCTGCAGCTACTTCTTTGCATCTTTCGAGCGAAGATGAGCCTCATGGTGATGAAGTGGTGGCAGTGGTGAAGCCAAATATGCTTGTGTTGACGGCTCTTCCGTTGATATCTACGGGGACAAGCCATTCTTTAGCAGTGTAGCAGGCGATACATTAGTACGTGCCTGTTTCTGGTTACATAGAATAGCCTGTCGTTTGTGATGTGTTTTCTTGTGCCCGTTGTGGCTTTTTGTGTTACTGCTGCAATAGTTGCCGGTGACGTTGGTCATGCACGACATGTTCGGCAAGACTCTGAAAATATAGTCCGTCGTATTGGTCTTCTGGTTTGTTGTGTTCATTCCTGGTGCTGCTGCTGCAGCTGTGTTCGCGGTTGTGGTTACTAAACCCAGCCCCCGCAAAGACTCCTCGTGTGCAGGGCTCACCGGTCTTTCGAAAGAGCATGCCCTAAACACCCTAGGCCCCAGATCCAGTCAGCCTTCTCCAGGCAAAGAGTATCTGCTTCGTTTTCTGAGTTCAACATACCCCCCACTTTTTTGATTGAACCTACTGTAGCCTCCATACTACCGGCTACAGAGATTGCAGTTGCTCGCCGAGGATATTCTCGATCGCCAACTCGTTCATCGACCTGATGTGGGCTTTCCTGGTGGTCGGAGCGTCAGCATCCACGAAGACTAGTTGCGGCACTCCACCCGCACCCCGACATTCCGAGGTGATCTTGATTCTGTTTATTTTCGGCATCATCTTATCCAACTCAGCAGCCGCTTGGTTTGCCAACCGTGCTTTTCGTTTGTGAGAGTGCATGGCGCGAGCGCTGTTGATTCGCACTGCTTGAAACTGCTTGCTCAAGAAATACTGACGATTCTAGTGCATGACGTGTGTGCGGGGAGGATTGCCGCACGACACGTGCGAAACATGAAGGAGCATCTGAAGCTGATAGCAGTCTTGAGACTAATTACTATGAGCATTAGCAGATGTCCTTTCCTCGTTTTTCAAACGCACCTGCCATGTTCCGATGATCTGGCCGAGCTGTGCTTTTGCTCCGAGCTAGGGCCAAGCCGTGGGCCGAGACCAAGCTCTCCGATGCTCTCCTTTGAGGTCTGGAAGGATCCGAAAATAGGGGGGTACCTTATTTGGGGTCCTTATAATAAGGATCCTACTATTTAGGCTACTATATTAGGGTCCCCTAAACCCTAAACCCTAAACCCTAAACCCTTATAATAAGGATCCTACTATTTAGGGTACTAGATTAGGCCTTTTCGGAAAGCCCCGAGGTCTGGAAGGATCCGAAGAATCCGGGCAACGGCTGCTTGTACTGCACATCGGATAACGCCGGAGGCCTGGGGCGCAAAGTCACCGATGGCGAGGCGATACGGAAGTTCACGGAGCTCAAGGACCAAATGCCTCAGTTCCGGGCCCACTTGGAGCTGCAACCGCCGGTTCCTTTGTACCTGGCCCGGCTAAGTTTGGCGAATCACGAGCTCGGTGACCCTTGGGCTCTTCTCATTCACTTCTCACGCTAACCGCGAGCTGTAGCAGGGAAGTGTGCTACTTTGTGTGTTCTGTGCGTTTGCTACAGAGGCCATCTTGGCCCTACCCATATCCTGCCGTGGAGTCGTCAGCTTTGCTTACCCGGTTTCATGGTTTGTGGTTGAAGGGGTGCATCTTCGCCGGTTCATGCTGTGAGCTGTACTCTTCGGCATTCCGCTCTTAACCATGGTGTGGGGGCAAGATTGCATAAAAGGCTTGTGTCAATCTTACCGCGATACTGCAGGTCCTTTGTATTGTCGGCAAGCAGAAGTGATGTGCTCTTGCTTATGCATGGTGTTCTTGCTTTACTGCACGGCCGTCGCTTGCTTTATGTGATCGTTATTCGCCACATACTAGTAGATTCTAGATGTGTGGTAAGTAGAAGGGCCATTTCTTTATTGTCATCAATACCCCATGAACGGCTGCTTTCTTCGACTGACTTTCGGTGTCTATTAGCTAGTGCTACCTCTTGTTTCACATACGACCAACTGGATTTCGCTTGCACCACGTTGGTATCGATCTTGCGCTCCCCAGTGTTGCTGTAGTTGCTGGTGTGTTGTTCCCGTGAAAGATGATGGCAGAGGGGTGCGTGTTCAGATATGTTTTGGATGTTGATTGTAAATGGGTGTCGGCACTCATTAAGTGCAATGTTTTTCCGAGTGTGGATTTATCTAGCTATCGGTATCTATCTGTCTATGCCTACATACATATAGACACACCACAAATACATGCTTCCGGTCCCTGTGGCAAGTCCAACGGAGCCCTGGTTACAAGGCCTGAGCATCCAAGGACCGCGCGGTCCGTCAGCTGGTCGAGGCACTATTGTCCGGCACGACGCTGGTGGAGGTGTTGGAGCTGTACAAGAACCGACTAGGCGATGCCTCGGCGCAAGCGCTTGCTGTGCTGCTGGAGAATTCCCCAAAGCCTGGAGTTCACGGGTTCCACCTGTCCCATAACTACTTCACACCTTTGGGCGTGGGCTTGCTGCTGGCTTCTGCAACCCGCAGCAACTTTTACCCGGCATGGCGAAAGTGGCGTGGTCGCAGCTTCCTTTGCCCACTCTGGTTAAGAGTTGAACAACAATTGGTGAAGTGGGATGTGTTAAACGGCCTGGAAGAAACGGAGCAGAAGCAAAGGGCAGATCTTCTATTGGCAGAGAAAGCCGCCACCCTCACCAAACGCTGCCAGGCAAGCGGACGGCTTCTGCCAGAGTCGTTGCCCGAGGATTTCAGGTTGCTTTGCATGCCCGAGGGCTTTGATGAGTCATCGGAGGATTGGCCGGAACATCTAGATCGCAGGCCAAAGACCTGCTCCAAGTGGTATTGCGCCCACATCCATGAGGATGGCTGGCCGATGGTTCACCTCCCGTATTTCTGGTCCCAGAACTCCAATCGCGCAACCGATGTCTGTCCAGAGGTTGGTAGCCTGCACCGCTCGGACCCCACGTGGCGCTCCTGGCGGCCCAGGTTGCCCGTCAGCGTCCTTGGCCGAATCCCTCTCAAGGGCCCTCCATCGCCAGCGCCCGCGGCACTGGCGGCCGCTCCACAGGCTGCCCAACCCTTGACGGATGGGGCCGAGGGTCGGCCGCCTGCGGAAGCCGCCAAGCAGGAAGCGAAGAGAGAGCCAGGTAAGCAAGGCAAGGAGCATAAGAAGGCAAAGGAGCACAAGAGCAAGAAGTCCAAGGAGGACAAGGAGGCCAAGAGAGTGAAGAAGCAGAAGAAGGAGAAGAAGGACGGGCTCAAGCGCAGCGCGCGCAGCGCAGGCGCAGAGGGCCCGAAGCTCCGATCCAAGAAGGAGAAGCCCAGCCCGAGCGAGGCGGAGGCCCCGGTAGTGGAGCCGCCGGAGGACGAGGAGCGGTCGGGGTCCGATAGCCCCGAAAGCCCCGGAGCCGAAGAACTCGGGAAGTTCTCGATGGAGCTGAACCGGGAACTCGAAAGGGAGATCGACTTGGAGTAGCCGCGAAAAGATGAAACCGGGATGTGCAGAGGTAGTTTGTGTTTATGGCTGCGGTGTGTCCAGACATCTTTGTGACTCTGATAAGCAGTTCGAAGCATCAGCGGATCAAGCCGGATGCAAGGCTACCTACTTTGAGTCAATCAACCTGGGAAGCAGCGACTTGCTTGCGATTCATTCACAAAGACAAAGGCAGGGTCGGACAGATTTATGGATCACATGTCTGAGCGAGGCTGAAAGAGGTAGGTTCAGCGTGGTTTGCGGGCTTTGGGATAGGTTCCTGCTCCCGGTGAAGGGGTTTATCTGCATTTCAAGGACAACTGTTGTAAGTCTCTCCTGTCGGTATAGTGACAGAGTTGTCCTGTATGGTGCAATGGCTCATATACAGAAAGCAAGGAAGAATAAATGCTAAATTAGTTCGAAAGAGGAATGAAGACTGGCTGCAACGTGTTTCCGGTACAATCCTGTCCTCAAACCCTGTCTCGCAATATACAGACTTGATCGTGCATGTGCACGCATGTAGGCACACGTTTCAGTTCTGAATTAGTTTGTGAGCTTTCTGATTCTTTCTCTGCATGGATATTAACAAGCGCGCATGTGCGCGCGTCTGTATACCAATGTAAATAAGTACTTGTGTATGCATATAGGGAGTAGGCGTATGTCTTTTCATTCCGAGGTGACGATATCGACGAAGCCGTTAATGTGCCTTGGGCTGCCAGTTATGCAGTGTTTCGGTAAGCTTGAGTTACAACAGGCCTCCGTTGCTGCAGCAGGTCATAAAGCCGCTCTTCGGGAGCCTCCCCGTGACGATGCTCTCTTTGTGGTGTGCAATCAGTGGTGGCAACGCTTCTTGGCATCATCAAGCAGCGCTGGGTTTCAGCTTCTTGCGTGTGTCGGTGTCGTGGGACCCTGCTGGCTTGCTGGCATTCGTGTGCTACGTGTTTATGCCTGACATTGGCACTTGTTTATAGTTCATATGTGCAGTTGAAGAAGAAGTGCGCTGCTCAGTCCAAGATTAATGTGTCCCTGGGTTTTGTCGACCCTTTCCGGCCTGCTGCGTCCATCCTGGATATGCTCTTGTGCAAGGGCTCCACGGCCGAAGGGAGGCCTCGATAAAGAGGTGCAGACGCACTTATATCTCATGATCATCTCAAACCACTCAACGAGGCAGCCCCTACTCGTAGAAACATGGTTATACCGATGGTATACCATGCGTGCAGACAAGACAGCAGTCCTAGACAGGTTGCTCTTGTGATTCATGTGAATGCTTCGAGATGCCTGGTTGATCCTGGCTGTGCATCCCATGTCTTCCTGTGTCTGTGTAATTACAGCTCAGGACTGGATGGTGTATGCAGAAGCGCTGATGGTGATGGCAGCTCGGTCTGAGAGCCACCTGCAGTGAGGGCAGGTGTTCAACGAATCATCTCCCAAGGACCGTGACAACAGCTACGTGTACGTTGCTGTTTTCCTCTTCTACACTGCCTTCTGCGTTGTCGAACTCTTAGCTGCCAAACTTCATGACCTGGATGTTGGTTTGCCACTCCGAGTAGATACTTTTTCTAAAGGCAAGAGACGGGGCAGAGGTGACACTCGAAGCTAATGCAGAATGCCGACAGTTGCGTCCAGATCGCCGCCGCAAGTTAGCTTGGCAAGCGAGCTGAATTTGATGGTCCGGAGCACTCCCTTCCAGAGTAGTGTGCAGCAACCGAGGTCGGACTATTCAATGTTGTGACAGGCCATGGCCTGCTGTACGGTATGCGTCACAGCTCAGAACACGCAATGAGGATGTTGCGGCCTGTGAGGCTTTGTGAATGCAAGCCCGTCTGTCTGTTCAGTTTGCCAAATCGCGTTTCGCACGAGCTTCGCACGCCAGGAGTGTTCGTGGACAGCGCTGTCTGCTGCAGAACTGAGGATGAAGTTTTGCAGTGACTTGGCGAAAGCTTTCAAGTTGCAAGACCGCTTCTACGGAGAATGGTTTCTCGAATTGCTTCAGTGTCGACAGCATGCAAGACAAACGTAGACGTGCAAGACTAGACGACCGGCCTCACTGCTTCCTCCTCCATATCGGTCAGGAGCTACATGGACGATCTAAAGCACACGACTGCTGAGATAAAGAGGCACAGCTGCAGCCAGTCTTTCTGCAAAGTCTGCCGAAGTTTCCTACTCAACCAGCGATACCAGGAACGGCGCATGAAAGCGTAGTCCGACCTGGCACTGCAACCGGTACAAAGGTTCACTTGGCACAAGTACCCGGCACGCATGTTTGCATGTACGTTCGCACGCAGTACCTATGCATAGGTAGGTAGGCAGGTAGGAACCGGAGGAAGGCATATATACGAATGTGCATCGTGCGTGTGCATGCATGCATGCATGCATGCATGCATGCATGCATGGACGGATGGATGTTTGCCTGTATGTATCCGTGCATGCATGGATGGATGCGTGCATGGATGGATGTATGCACGAGTTTTCGTTCGTTTGTTTGCTTGCTTGCAGACTTGCGTGTATACAGACAGGCAGAGGCGCAGACTTGCATGCGTGCATACAGACAGCGCTTGCAGTTCTGCACGTGCGAGTAGCTTGAGACCAGTTGCGGCTGCGGTGCATCCGTGCCTCGCAGCACCGTACTCGGTGTGTGTGTGTGTGTGTGACAAAACTCGTCCATACATCGCTTCACAGGGCCCGTCAACAGAGTCGAAGCCTAGGAAGTTTTTCGAGACCGCAGACTCCGATGGCTCTGGCACCTTGAGCTACAGAGAGCTGCTCCCTCGCAAGTCAGCATGTATCACTTTCTCGACCGACAGTGCGCATGCATTGAGATCGCCACCGTGTGCCTCCATGGACTAGCTGACGGTGGTGTTTTCAAGCTTTCTGGGTCCATACAGTACGACCTGGATAGTCATCGGATAGTCGTTACACTACGAGCAAAGCATACTGATACGGCAATCTGCACTGCGTGGGTTTGCTACAATAATGGGTAGACGTGTGCTTGTAGAAACGTGGGCTCAGAAGTACACCTCACCTAAAGACCTTGACTCGACCCGAGTGCTTAAGGCGACATTGCCCGCCAACATGGAGAGCAATTTGCGATGCAGCTAAGGTTCTGTGGGCATCTGAGAAACCCGACAGTCAAGGCAATGAAGCCAGTGGCCTCCCCTTGTGCCCTGCGATAGCAGCAGGATAGCAGGATCCACAGAACTGCACCTCTGTGGGCAGGCTTTCTTTCATGGTCTGGATATTGATCCGGAGGAGGCCTCTTGGGTCCGCGTTTGCAAAAGCATGCAAGCCGCCGGTTGTGCTAGAAATGGGAAGCCGATGGACGACCTATCCACGCCCTATGCCCTGCGAGGCCTCCATCATTTTCCGAATTCTTGACGATGACAAGAACGACGAAATCCTCATAGAAGAGTTCATAAATGGCACCATGAGCCTTGCTTGCCGTTGTGATGCAGTAGGTCGGAGCGCTTCGTCCAAACCTTCCCAGCTCTGGCGTGCAAGGAAACTGAAGGGTCATGCCACAAAGCTCGAGATGATAACTTTGATGTACGACAACACCAGGCGCGAGGCTTTGCCAGACAGATCTGCTATATTGGACGGATCGCAAAAAGATGTGAACACTAGCTGCATGTGACCTGATGCATCGGATCACATGTGTAGAACGGTCAGTCGGTTGGCTGATGTGACCAGACACTGAGCCTGACATCATGGCACAGGCAAAGCATGAAGCTGGACTCGTCAGATGCTTACCGCCAGCGTCCTGTGCCACGAAGTGACGACACTATGTGCACATGCGCCCTAAACCCTGGCTTGCCTCAAGTCGCAGAACCGGCTCGAGTGGGAACTCCTGCTTTATAGAGCCCCAGCAATGAAGCTCAGTGTCGGCCTGGCCACCTTGGCAAACTTGGCGTTTGCGTGGGGAGCACAGCTCCGCGCCCGGGGAAGTGATGAAGACGTGCCCGATCCACCGAATTGCACCACCACCTTCAGCAAGACGTGGGTCGAGAAATGCGAGAACGTCTCACTGGCGGAATGTACGAGTTCTTATGTGGGCTGGGGCGTGCACTACCTGCAAGAATGCGCCATCAGCAGCTCGAAGACCTTTTGCTTGCCTACCGGAGAACGCTGCACACGCACTTCAGAGCTGTTTGTCGAGTACCTGGTAGTTGCAGGCGGCGGTGGCGGGGCATCGGGCGGTGGGGGAGGCGGAGGTGTCCTCGCCGGCCGACAGAAAGTGGATCCAAGCAAGGCGTTGAAAGTGGTGGTGGGGGCTGGGGGCAACTTCGGCGGCGGTGGACACACCGCGAACCTGGTTGCCACTCCTGGCGGTGACTCTCAGCTTGGTGAGGTCTTGGCCAAGGGAGGAGGCCAAGGAGGTGGAGGTTCGGACATCAACAAGCCCGGAGGGTCAGGAGGATCCGGCGGTGGTGGTGGCCATGATCGGATTAATGTCGCACGCAGCCAGGGCACCGCAGGCCAAGGGCATGGAGGAGGCCTATCGAATGTGCCTGCCTACGGCGCTGGAGGCGGTGGGGGCGGTGCTGGTGAAGCTGGAGCGGATGCCCCTCAAAAACACTACGGCGGCAAGGGTGGCGACGGCATCTCCTCAGGCATCACCGGCACAACCAAGTTTTACGGGGGAGGTGGAGGTGGAGGGATCAATGATAATTCAGGTCAGCTTTTGACAGGTCGTGGAGGACTTGGAGGAAAGGGCGGTGGAGGACGTGGAAGTGACTTCGGCAGCAAAGCTCCGGGTGCCGATAATTCCCAGTGGGAGTTCACCGGAACCGACGGCGAGGCTAACACCGGAGGAGGTGGAGGAGGCACGGACCCGGAGTCGAAGTATGCGGGCATGGGTGGCTCTGGTGTTGTCATCGTGCGCTACCCGGGCACCACGCCTGTATTGGTGGGTGGTGAAGTGGCATCGGTCGGCGGCTGCCAAGTGCACACCTTCGCGACTCCAGGAGAAGATGCGTTGGTTTTCGGCAATGTCTCAGAAACTCTCCCAATTGACTTCTTGGTCGTGGCCGGCGGTGGTGGTGGCGGCTCCGGAGGTGGCGGTGGCGGCGGCGTCATCAAAGGTTCCAAGATGATCCAGAAAGGGGCTGAGTGGGGCGTCATGGTCGGTGACGGTGGACGCTCCGGACAGGGCGGTTCTACTGGTGCCCGAGACATGCAAGAGTCCAAGTTGGCGACGAAAGGAGGAGATTCCAAGCTTGGAGGCCTTGTCGCTATTGGTGGAGGGCATGGCGCAGATCAACGCAGAGCACCAGGTGATGGAGGGTCAGGCGGTGGTATCTCTTTCGATCGCACTGCGGTGGAGCCTGGTCGCGGCACACCGGGTCAGGGGTTCCCAGGAGGCCATACCTACCGTGACGGCTACGGCTCTGGGGGCGGCGGCGGTGGTGCCGGTGGCCGTGGCGAAACAACACTTCAGCTGCACTTGGGCGGCAAGGGAGGCGATGGCGTGTCTTCTGACATCACAGGGACGCTGAAGTGGTACGGAGGAGGCGGAGGCGGCGGCGTGAACGACAATGGCAAGGCCGCGGTTGAGAACGGCGGAGGAGCCGGTGGCAAGGGTGGTGGAGGCAAAGGGAGCGACTGGGGCAGCACCACCGACTCGAATCCGGATAAGTTCACGGGAACAGACGGAGAGGACAACACTGGAGGTGGCGGCGGTGGAACCGATCCCGAATGCAGAGTGGCTGGTAAGGGTGGCTCGGGCATCGTCGTGGGCCGGTACAAGGGCACGAAGCCTTTGCTGACCGGCGGCACCATAACCACATCTGGCGGATATCAGGTTCACACCTTCTCCACAGTTGGCCCGAGCACCTTGAAGTATGACTAGTGACTGAAAAGACCCTCACTCGTTGAGGCATTCAGAAGTTTAGGATTGCCCCAGAGGTTTGCGCATTTGTCATTGCGCCCGTGTTTCACGATGGGTAGTGCGATCAATTGGCAACTTCAGCCTTTTGAAGGCGAGACCCTGCATCTCTTGATGCAGTTGTGTATGAGTTGGATCTGGCCTTGCCGGGACACAAAGAGGATTTGAAGCATGCGCAACTGTGGAAATCTTGAGAGTCCTTTCAGTCTAGGTGTCCTTCTGAGAGCCTTGCTTGATGCTCTTGAGTGCGAGTAAACTGCCAAGTTGACTGCTTCTATCATTCTAGATGATATGAATTCTCTATTCCCGTCTCATTTTACTATTAACTCCAAACCAAGAATCTCGAATCGATTTCCCTGTTAAGGCTTTGCGAGTTCCTGGAGCAAGAGTTTCAAGAGCTACGGAGACTGAGCAGACCCTGCTCCGGGCAAGGACTCCCGCAGGCCTGGGTTGCTCTGGCTAAAGATCCGGTGGACCGTTTAGGGAGTCGGCGCCTTGGTTCCTGGCATAGGCGTAGTCCAGGTGTAAACGGGGCTTAGTGCACTGCAGCCCCTGCTCAACAAAAAGGGTTTAGGGGCGAAAGTTGCTAAAGTTAAAGCTCCGCGGGGCCTAGAGCTTGTTTCATGCAGTCGGACTGTGTCCTAGGTGTCTTGGGGCCTCTTGTTTGCTCGGGTTCGCTTTGTCTCATGTTGTCGGACTCCTGTGTCTTGGGTGTTTTGATGCTTCTTGTTTGCTCGGTTTTGCTTTGTCTCATGTGGTCCGTCTCCCGTGTCGTGGGTTTCTTGTGGCTTCCTGTTTGCATGGGTTTGCTTTCCTTCATGCAGTCGGACTCCTGTGTTGATTTGTTGTTTCATTCGGTCTGACTCCTGTGTGCTGGGTGTCTTAGCGCTTCTTGTTCGATCGGGATGTCTTTGCTTCCTGAAGTCGGACTCGGGTGTCCTGGGTATCTTGGGGCTTGTCGTTTGCTCGGGTTTGCCTTGTTTCATGCGGGTGTCTGGAGCTTCTTGTTTGTTCTGGTTCGGTTTGTTTCATGCGGTCGGACTCCTGAGTGATAATCATCATCGCTGCTATCAGGGCGGGCATGGATGAGGACTGTAAGGAGAGCAGTCTTTACACACCTCCATCCCAGATTCCACTAGTAAGAACTGTAATGGCACTCCATCACATACCAATTGCAGGGTGCGTGGCCTGCTTCCTCGTTGACGCTTGGATTGCAGCTGGGATCAGTACGGCAGTGCTTGTTCGTAGCCCCTCGATCATGGCTTCGTCACATGCTCACTGTGCTAACTTGCTGGTGTGTTGAACTTGCGCCGGTAGGGTATTGTAACGAGGCTTCATCCAAAAAGTCAGGAAAAGTGTTGGCCCCCTTCTTTCTCAGTGATGCTGGATCCTTTCAAAACAGGCCCCGATTACCTGTACAGGATGTCTCAAGCATGGTAGGTCCTTGTTCGGGTTTCCCAGCTCATCAGAATTGTTGCCTATTTTGTCCTCTGGGGCGCACAGCTTCAACAAGGTTGGGGGTCTGCGAACTCTCTATGAAACGACTCTGATCATCGTGTCATCCCCTGGGGTTTCAGTGCAGAACCCAGGGGAAATCTTCGAAACACTAGTCCAATCATGGGGCTCCCAGACTCCTGCATGAGAGAGACTTGGGAACGGTTTTTCAGTCCGAAGTATCAGCCACTGGCCAGCGGCGACCGCAGCCTAAGTGCGTCTCAGGGCACAGGATTTGACTCCATGAACGCATTCGTATGGAATGCCTTTTTGGTATCTTGCTGGACGCCACAGTCAGCATGCGTCCTTTTGGTTCTTGATCTGGAATTGAACTGATCTCTCCTGGGTTTAGTGTTCGCCTTAGAACAGGAAGACGAACCAGAGCGGGACAACCTGAGCTTCCGATGAGAGTCGAATTCGACGTCTATGTGCCAAGTTGCTGGCAACTCATAGAACAAGGCGCCAAGCCTCGTAGTACGGTTTCGCCCCGTTCAGGCCTATCCGAAGTCGGGCTCATCACCTTTACTATTCTACTACCGTTCGCCGTATCCATCATGATGCTGCTGGATATGTGGTGCTTGGACGTGGTAGCATACACTATAATCAGAATGTCAAGAGGCTGCCAGTAGATGTCTTCTCGAGCCACCCGGGGCCTGGTTTCCGCTGCAGCGAAGCGGGCAGAAGCTTAAGGTTTTAATGTCTCCTCAGGGATTCCTTGTACGGGGCTGCTCTTCCTCCAGGTTTTCAGCTCAAGATGTGGCCCGCTCAGCCTTGGGCTTCTTAAGCTTGCTGCAACACGGCATTACACTATCACACGTTGGCTGGGGCTACGGCTAGGTTTCGGACACATCCCCCAATAGCCAGGCTTAACGAAGCTCTGGGTGCACTCTTCATGCCCGCAGCTGCGCGGCTGCGCGTGAAATGGATGCCAGCCCCAAGGGTCACAGCATTGCATGGACTCGCGGCGTCGGCCGAAGGAAAGGGAAGCAGTGACCGGTCTCATTTTGCAGCTGATTTGGCTCTTAATTACATCGGATCCAGGAATATCGTTGTGCTCTTGCTACGACTGCGACTCGAATGGTGGTGCCCTTTGGAAAACTCGAAGGCGAATGGTGACCGCTGAGGGTACCAACAGCTTGCTACCACCATCACTAGCAAATACGAATACGGACCATCGCTTCGACAAGTCTTAAAACTACCATCAAATCCTCCTGGTCGCAGCTGCAACTGCTGCTGCCGCTGCTTGTATTAATACCGCACAAAATCTGCCAGACTGACGGCCATGAATCTTCAAGCTGATACAGTCCATGGCCTGCTGAATTGAAGTGTCGCCAATGTGTGAGCATCGACATCGTGATCCTTACTGACTAGCGTCAGCTCGGCGTTTTTCTGGTCAAAAGCCTCAAGTGTTCGCAAGCCTTCTCAGCACCCTTGTTGTTCATGTGGTCCTTTGCCGATGGCGCCGAGTGGACTCATGCAGAGCCAGGGCACAGAGGTGGGCTTGCTTCGGGTTTTGTCGAAACCCGCGAGTCCTAGCTGCAATCCCAAAATAGAGTGCCACAAAGATCTGCATGTGAGCGCGTGCAATCACAGCATGGTATCAGATGCATACCGCACACATAGTATACTGAGACGGGTATTGAAACTTGTCAGACAGATGGATCAATAGATCGGTAGTTAGGTGGACAGGTAGATAGGCAGATAGGACAGTTTCGTCAGACAGGATGAAGAGATCGATAAATACTTGTAGGTAAATGGATCGATGGATGGATAGACAGACAGATTGATAGATCGATCGATAGATATGTACTCGCCGTGCCAGCTAGGCTTGGTCTAGCGGATAGACATCTACATCGACAGACATGGCCTTTTGCATACCTTGCCAAGCAGGTGGCAGATGTCACGAGCCCACGGCTTGCTACCAGGGAGCTGGTGCGACTCGGGGATTCGCTGCAATGGGCCGCGGCCTGCCGACTCCTCTTCAATCTTTCAGGACCGCTACAAAATCGCCATGCATCGCTATGAGGGTGGTTACCTGCTGTTTTCATGAAGCTTCAGGGGGGAGCACGACGCATCAGCCGGACAATGTGTCATTGCAGTGCAACGATCCAGGAAGGACTGGGCTTTCTCAGTCTCTTATCGTCGTGTAACCGGGCCGGTTCAGCATGCGCAATTTCTGGTAGTTGCTGCATAGAAAGATGTTCAGTGCAGGCTGCTGTCCCGTTGTCATGCCAGGAGCAGGGATCGAAGTGAATCAGTTCCATGTCACGGCGGCCATGCGCGCCTGCAGCAAGGCCGGCAAGTCGGAGCAAGGTATACATTCTTTGTCTATGATACGCGCTTATGTGTCCAGGGCCTTCAAGACAAATTTTCGGGCAGATGGTATTCCCAGCTAATCACCGTCGGTAGTGCTTGTCAGTTCTGTTCTGTCACCACCAGCTCAAGGCTGGGAAATGGGACACGGCGCTGGCGCTTTTGGAGTCGCTGGATTCCCTGCGAGTACCCCAAGAAACTCGGACTCCATACGTAGTGCTCAAAGTGCTGACCATGTAAGTCAGTGCGGGTTATGCATCCATAGGGACTCAGAGTATGCGATAGCTTGGCGTACTGATTCTGTTGCAGCTCGGATGGCATGGTGGGCCTTCCAGTACCAAGCTTACGAACAGCAGCAGACTTGCGCGACAGCTCATCTCAGCACTGGGAGATGATGCCCGACCCCGGGTCCTTTCAAGCCCCCGGTCCAGGAAGAGAAAATCTTCGGGGCCGTTTTCAGCTGCTGCGAGCGATGTGGCAGGTGGCAGCAGGTGCTGGCGCTGATGGCGTCGATGGCTTCGCAGAGCGCATGGAGCAGAACAAGCCCCAGCAGCGCATCTTACAATTATGCAGCGGCTCGGGATGGATTTGTGCTGTACGTGTTTTTATTTGTTGCCTGTCTCAGACTCAAGCTTGGCTTCTTTTGTGCATTCCAACACCAGCGAGTCCACGCAAAAGCATTTCCAGGTGAGCGCCTGCGAGCAAGCGACACAGTGGGGGCAAGCAGTGCAGTTGTTGGCAGACATGCAGGAAAAGAGCATTTATATGGATGGAAGTACCACTTGCAGCGTGCTTTCCGCCTGTGTCAAAGCCCGGCAACTGGCGGAAGTCACCAGTGTCCTAAACCTCATGCGGAGAAATGCCGTGCAAGGCAGCACTATAGCGTGCAGCGCGGCCATCGGTGCATGCTCTCATGCTGGTTTGTGGCACCTGGCCACCGAGCTCTTAGACTACATGGCTGCCACAAAAGTACCCCGAAACATCATCACTTTCAGCTCTGCGATCTCTTCTTGTGCGAAAGCTGGCCAATGGAGTGTGGCTCTGCAGATCCTGCAGCAGATGTCGTCATGTCACGTGGTCCATGACACTATCAGCTGCAGCGCAGCCATCAGTGCATGCGAGAAGGCCGCGATGATCCTCCGGATCTGCGTAATTGGTTTGCTGAACTGCCACCAGCATCTATTCTGTCCTTGCTTTCCATTTCATGTCCCGAAGCTTTCCATCCAGCATGCACTCTTGCACTTGTTTCTTCATCAGGGGGTTGCCCATGAAGGGGTTGAGCGAAGCTGTTTCCGACGCTTACCAGTACCCTTAGCTCCGCAAGCTGTGAGCTGCATTCTCACAAGCAGTTTGGGTCCGGTGAGAAAGGGATCTTGGAGGCTGTTCAACGGTCTCTTCGTCGTGGGGCCTTGTCAGAAACTTGTCAGAAATCCCCGCAGGCTGGCCAGTGGACGGTCGCCCTAGAAATCCTCGGCAGCATGCCGACCCTTCGGGTGCTGGCCGATGCTGTGACTTTGGCCTCCGCGATCAGCTGCTTGGAAAAGGGCGAGCAGTGGGAGAAGGCCCTGCAACTCCTCTCACAAGGTGCCTGCCGCGGGGCGAGGGGTGACTGGTGAGGGGGAATGCTTCCAAGCCGGGCCTTTTTTTGCACTTACAAGATACCAAGAATGTAGGAGCTTGCTTGTCCTTCTTTGGGGGCGTCGTGAGGTTCTGGTGAAAAGATGCAAGTCAACCACATCGGCCTGTCAGCGGCGATCTCCGCTTGCGAGAAGGCTGGGCAGTGGAAAGCCGCCTGTGAAGTGTTGCGCTTTTCGGCGACGGCACGCATCAGAACAGACATCGTTGCATACAGCGCGGCCATCGCGGCATGCTCTCGATCTGGGGAGTGGGAGGCAGCTTTTGGACTGTTGGAACAGATGGCAGTGGAGCACATCCGCCACGACACCGTGGCATGCACGGCGGCAATAACTGCTTGCACGAATTCGACCGAATGGACAAGGGCACTCTCTCTTCTGAATTCAATGAAGCTCAAGCTGCTGTCACCAGAGATTTTTGCATACACTGCAGCTCTAAGTGCTTGCGATCTCGGGGAGCGCTGGGAGGAAGCATTGATACTGATGGAGGACATGCAACAAAGCTCAATGGTCATAGATGGCATGCACGTGGGCTGTGCCATCAGCGCTGTCCAGAAGAGGCGTGGACGCCCGGCTGCTATCCGGCTCCTCAAGGCATTGCGTGCGACATGGCCCCCCTTGATTCCGGGAAGCAGAGAGGACATGGAAGGTTTGGACGTGCTCAGTCTGCATCCTGGACTGCTTGTCCTCAACAAGCCAGCTGGTGTGCGGACGGAAGACATGTGGGGGTTTCCAAAAATAGGGGACCCTAATATAGTACCTTAAATAATAGGTTCCTTATCATAAGGACCCCAAAATAAGGTACCCTAATTTTTCGGAAAGTCCCATGTGGCTCCGAGAGAATTTATCAGAGCAAGAGGGGCGGGTTTTGCCCCAACTCCACTGCCTTGCAACGGACGTCATACCCGCATCCCTCAGATTGGCAGATACAGTCGGTACTTGTACCTCAGTAACCATTGTATAGATGAATTATGTAGATACATGGTCATTTTGACCCTGCAAAGGGCTTGCGTTCGCCTCAGTCGTTTCATCCATGCAAGCATGCTATCAAACCAGTGCATGCATACATGCCCATCCATTCATCCATACATGCATAACAGGCGCGTGCGCGCAGAGATGCCCTGTGCTTCCTTAAACCCTAAACCCTAAACCCTTTTTCCCTAAACCCTAAACCCTTTTTCCAGGCTTGAGCAAGTGGCCCGCCATGGCCAAGTCACGGAGATATCGCGCCTGGACGTTCCCACCTCGGGGGTGCTACCTGTCGTCCTCGACGCGGAGGGGACGACGGCTGCCAGGTGCACGGTCTTCGAGAGCAGCATTTTGTTGGAGTCAGTGTCGTCGGAAGACTTTCCGGAGAGGTTCTTGAGGTTTGCCAGGATGATACCAATACCATGCAGCATAGTGTTTCTCATAGTTCCGGACTGGAGATTGCGGTGGGGCTAGGAAAGGGCCGTACCCAGGGGAGGAGAAAGGAGATACGTCTAAGAGGTTTAACGGTTTAACACTTCAGGCTCTTAAAGGGTTTAAGAGCCCTGCTTCAAAAAAACATATTAGCAGACTTTTAGCAGGAGCAGGTGTGGACTTTTGTCCGTTTGATTCTGTTTGGGATGACACGGGGAGAGTGTGTGCCATTCCGACTGCGGAGTAAGTCTATGTTGTACTCACTCTACAGTGCCACTGAGGGGCGCGCAATTGGCTTACGATGGCACAATTTTCTTTCGATGGCGCGTCCTTCCGTTTTCTCAATCATATACCCTAAACCCTGAACCCTCATGCGGATTCACCGAGGTGGTACAAAGCCCAGTTTGCGGGCCGTCTGGCGAGGAAAGAGTACCTCTGTCTGTGTGAGGGCGAAGTGCTGCCTGCAGCGCCGTCTGCATTTTGCAGGGCTTTTCGGATCGATAGTTTTGGTGCCCGGTTCCTGGTATGCAAAGGAATGGGTCTGACAGATAGATGGATATAGACGAAAGGCTCCACACAGATATGTTCGTATATGTCGGAGTTCAAGTTTTTTGTGCAGGGTTTTGGGACCCCATGCACCGACCGCACACCGTGGTTTGAAATGGTGTTTATAGCCAAGGCCGACGGCGAGCAGCGGGTGGAGCTGCCCTTGCGCATCCTGCCCCCGGGACCGGGTACCGCCTGCGCAGCGGTGGATCCCATCGGCCGGGAAGCTCTGACTTGCTACGAGAGTCTGAAAGTGTACAGCTCTGATGACAAGATCTGGTCGCGGCTCCTTGCCAAGCCGAAGACGGGACGAGCCTCGAATTCAGGGCAAGCTTTCCTGTCTCCATATGGGACTTTCCGAAAATTTGGGTACCTTATTTTGGGGTCCTTATAATAAGGATCCTATTATTTAGGGGACTATATTAGGGTCCCCTATTTTCTGAAACCCCCATATCTCGGTTGCAGCCTGGGAGCTTCATCTGCATGGCTTGTTTCACGAAGGAATGCACCAGATCCGTGCGCATCTGGCGAGTGCGGGCCTGCCGTTGGTAGGCGACCGATGCTTGCCTGCCCAAGGGATTCAGCAACAACAACTTCAGCACGTCGCTGCCTCAAGAAACCCTGAAAATCATTGGACGTTCTTGTACTTATATGGCTCAACATATTCGTCTCCCTGAGTTTTCCCTATCTCTATATATATATATATATATACACACACGGATGTCCAGGTCGTTTTCCTTCAGCCTGCTCCGACCAGTGACCGTACAAGCTGTAGAGAAGAGCCTACCCCTAACAGTGGCTGCACCCAGGAGTCTATGGGCTACCAGGACCTTTTTGGTGTCCTCGATTGTTCTTGCACTGCCGCCGGTTGACGTGCCTCAGCTGGACCGCCGGATTGAAATAAACGAATTTGAAGCCATGCACTCAAAGTATAGCAGCATGGGCTCTGCTAAGGGGAGATTCTACACGTCTCTACCCTTTGCAGAAGTTTTGTGTTTCTTTCACGTTGGCCCCCGTTGCATTCCAGGCTGCTTGGCTGGGATGGGAAGGAACTGAGCATCGAGGCCCCACTTCCCGCTGAGCTTCGGGCAGCCCTGGAGCACCTGGAGCGGGAAGCCTGATAGCATAGTGATATATATATATATATATATATATAGTGGTGGAACGCAAGTGCTAAAGATAGTGATATAGTGTATAGTATAGTATAGTATAGTATAGTATAGTATAGTATAGTATATAGTTTTAGTATAGTATAGAATCGTATGGTATAGTACAGTGTCGTATTACTGGCGGAGAGGTTCAGAACAGAGCCAGAGTCAAAGTGGTGTTCCGAGCGCGTGCTTTGGGACATGTTCTGGCTGTGTTTCTGGTGGTGCCATTTCTGACCATGCGTTTATTGCGCATGCGATGCATCGCTGCCAGATGTCCCGCACCAAATCGGTACTGGCGCTGTGCAGTAGGAGACTGGGCCAGAACAGGCGACATGCTTTTGGGCCTGCTATGCTTCCTTGAGGGGGCCTTTAGTTTTCGAGACAGGAGAACTATACGGTTTGCAGTTTTGTCTGTGCTCGCTCAAGATTTCTCGGCTTGATGGGGGTGGCGGGGCTGGCATGTGGGTGCACCTGCCTCCACATCTCCCCGCCCCATGGCTGCAGCTAGCTGCGCGTGCCCCTGTGATCTCGCCACGCTGTCTGCCAATCCTCGGCTGGCAACCCGCTTCTTGGTGCAGCTCGGGGATGCAAAGCAATGGCCCAATGCCGTATCACTACTGCGAAACCTTCGAGGTTCGGCGTAGTAGACGAAATAGCTACGGATGAGCCGACTGTCCCGAGCGCTTTCGTCCAGCTGTCTTCTTCAGGTGAGGCGGTGGAGCTTGATCAGATTCACTTCAGCGCTACCATCCGTGCCTGCAGTAAAGCTGGTGCTTGGGTCCCGGCGTTGGCACTGCTGGATCTGATGGCTGACTGGCAACTTGACAAGGCTTGTCCCCAGCCGAAGCAAGAGAAGTCTGTTGTGAGTGCTTGATGCTGTCGTAGGAAGTCGGTCAAGACTCAAGCTAAGCCAGAGGCACCCTTTTGCAGTGACCACATGTCCGCGTAGTTGGCAGGATCTGAAGTGCTTCGGTGCAGCGCTGAGCGCCTGTGACCATGGCCGCCGGTGGCAGGCGGCTCTTCTGCTGCTTTCTTCAATGGCGCGTGCAGGCGCTGTGCCGGGTCAGATTGCCTACAACTGTGCAGTCGTTGGGCCCTGCCTATCACAGTTTTTGCTTATGCGTTTTCGCATCGCACTGCGTGCTGAGCGATGCTGCGTTGTCTGCCTGAAGGTTCATTCAACGATCTAACAGCAGTAGACAACTTACAACTAGGCTTTGGGGATCATTTCAAGTCTTGCGACATGCCTGCTTTTGTTGAACCATCGGGAATTTCTGAAGGTTTGTGAGTTATTGTGCAGGCATCAACGAGCATGTCGAGTTTTTGCGTGGGTCGTCAGGTAAGCGCATGCGAGCGCTGCGCCCAATGGTCACAAGCACTGCAGCTTTTGGAAGACATGAGCTTCAAGCAAGTGCCGGTGGACACCATTACCTTCTGCTCGGCCATTTGTGCGTGTGGAAAGGCGAAGAAGTGGCCCCGAGTTCTTTGGCTTCTGCAGCGCATGGACCGACAGTCTGTAGAGAAGAACACTATACTTTGCAGTGCCGCGGTGAATGCGTGTGCAAAGGGCAACCTCTGGACCATGGCCATCAATATTTTGGATTCCATGGCTCTCTCGGGCATCGAGAGAAACACCATCACTTTTAATTCTGCGATCGCGGCTTGTGAGAAGAGTGCCGAGTGGGAGCTGGCTTTGGAGATCTTGAGACAAATGGATAGCGATCAGGTGCGCAGTGATACGATTTCATTTAGCACAGCCATCAGTGTTTGCGCAAGTACAGGTCATTGGACGGTAGGGCTGGATCTGCTTGAGCACATGTTTGCGAAGACTATTCCGCCTGATGCCATTGCATTCTCTGCGGCTATCACTGCATGTGGAAGAGGGGAAGTGTGGGATCGCGCATTGGTGCTCTTGCGAGATCTTTGGTCGCTGTCCAATGGAGTGAGCAGTATCAGCTTTGCTGCGGCCATATCAGCCTGTGAACGAGCCGGGCAATGGACTGCAGCATGCCAGGTTCTTGAGACATTACTGAGCACGAATGTCGCTGTGGACGTTGTGCCTTTCAGTGCCACGATTGCAGCTTGCTCGCGCGCGGGAGAGTGGGAAATAGCACTGAATCTGCTTGACCAGATGGTGTCCAGGAGCACAGGCAAAGACACAGTGTCGTGCACAGCGGCCATAAAGGCTTGTGCAACATCCGCCCGCTGGAACGCTGCATTATTTCTTCTGGGAACGATGCTCGCGGAAAAGGTGCCTCCAGATGTCGCCACCTACAGCGCAGTTTTAAGTGCTTGTGACCTTGGCGAGCGATGGGAAGAGGCCCTGGTGATCATGCATGACATGGGTCGCCGATCCGCAGCCATAGATGGTATACATGTCGGCTGCGCAATTAGTGCTGCTTTGAAGAAGAAGGGACGAGAGGCCGCCATCCTGCTGCTGAAGGCGTTGCGGACATCTTGGCCAGACACAGACATCGGAGTAGACCCAGCAGCGATAGACACTGGGGACATTGAAATCTTATGTCGGCATCCTGGTCTCTTGGTTCTCAACAAGCCAGCCGGTGTTCTGACCGAGGATGCGCTTCTTACATGCACGTATCTTGCTTGTTTGCTTTTGTCCGAAGCGCGGCCGGCGTCCGGCCCGACCAAATGCACTAACCCGGAGTAGTTAGAAGATGAAGCTATAATGTGACTTAATGTGGTTATTGTGAGCCCGATACCCGAAAAACGGGGCCTTCTCACTAGTGGCATGGTCTCTGCACCATCTCGCAGGCTTTCCTGGGCGCAGGGATGGGCTGGGTCTCGGGTGACGGCTATGTCTCGCCTGGATGTCCCGACCTCCGGACTGCTTCCTGTGGCCCTCGGTTCGGAGGAGACAGCTTCGAGCAAGTGGTTCAAGGCGCAGTTCGCTGGCCGCCTCGTCCAAAAGGAGTACCTCTGCCTCTGCCACGGACGCGTGGAGGTGCCTCTGCAGCCTTTTTGAGTCACAGATCCGTGTCCGTGACAGATGCGAGCGGCCAAGGAAGCTGGCGAGCAGCGCGTGGAGCTGGCGTTGCGAGTGGTACCTTCGGGCCCCGGCACATCTCGCGCAATGGTGGATCCACTCGGCCGCGAGGCTGTCACCTCCTACGAGAGCCTGGCCACGTACGCCTTGGAAAGCGAGGTCTTTTCGCTGGTCTGTGCCAGGCCGAAGACAGGAAGAGCCTCGGTCAGAAATACTGAGCCTCAGTAGGATGATGTTGCGCGGCTTTGATGTCCCATTCATGCTAGAGCCCCCCAGGAATGCACCAGATCCGCGCGCACCTGGCAAGTGTGGGCCTGCCGTTGGTGGGCGACCGACTCCTGTCTTTAAGCCGTGCAGTTTGCTTCACCCTAACCCTCCAGGTGCCTGCTATATAGGGCCCCAGGGGCTCTAGTACCCTATATAGTAGGTACCTGGGGGGTTAGGGTCAAGCATCGGTTGCGTGATGTTTCGTTTGAGAGGGGTCGATGTGCGTTGGCCATCAGAGAGCTCAGAGGGTGTGGAACACATGCCTGTGACATTGTTACAACAGTTGCAGCTGCCCAGGCTGCAATCTAAATCAGCCAAGTCTAATCTCAGACCACTGGTCCTGCGCCGGAGCAATCGTCAGTCAAATATATCAAAGGCATTGCGTTTGCGAATCTGAGGCCTTTATGGCCCGCGTGCACCTTCTTGGTGCCGTCGCCTTTTTCTTCATTGCCAACGGTTGAAGCAGCCCGACTTTTTCACTGTTCTGAACTCTTGAGTGTGTGTAAGTTCATACCAACCAATGCTATAGCACCCCTGCTCCTAGACTCTCCCAGTGTTCTATGAGGCTGCTGGGCTGGCACAGCGAGGAGCTCAACATCGTGGCGCCGCTCCCTGTAGAACTTCGGCGTGTCCTCGTGCACTTGGGTGGAAAGGAACTGGAGGAGAGCGACTGGAAAGGCCAGGAAGAAGACGCTGCTTTCACCTGATGAGAGCGCTGCGCATTAAGACGCGCGCATCTCCACCAAAACGCGACGTGGTACCCCCAGGTGACTACACAGCAAGCTGCTCTAGTCAATGTGCGCATGGATGACGAGAAAGAACACTTTAAAGTGATTGAGCAGTTAGCAGGTGGCTCTCGCCCATCTGCC